AAATATCCCTTCCAATCGGCATAGCCTTGTATATGCTGTTTGTGTTTGACAGAGGATGGTAAAGTTAGTTGTAGAGTACATTAGTCCATTAGCATATACTTTTAAGCCAGATTGTGATTTTTTCTATTTTGTGTATGTGTGTGCGCGCACGCGCTTCATACAATATGAATTGCATTGTTTGAGAACAATATACTGATGCATAGTTGTTACCTTCCAGGGCCTCTTCATCTGTGGCACTGTAAAACTCTGCGCGCCCAATGTCTTTGAGGAAACTTAACTCTGGGCTAACCCCTAGATATTCCAGCCTGTATATTTACCGGTATTTAGATTAAAATGTGGGACATGGACATTTGATACGTGTATCATGACCACAATACAAGTCTTGTTCTTAAAAAAGTTTATGTTCACTATATAAATTCCTTTTATCTACGGTGTTGAGTTTAGTATTAGATCTATTAGACGATTTACCCGACACGTACTGAATGCGGTTCAATAATCTGATTTTCATCATCTTGCAAACGATAGCTCATAGTCCCATGATAAACACCCACTTTTCCTTTTGCCAAAGTTGCTGAATGGTTACCACTATCTATTCCATTTCCAACAGCCTCAACTCCAATCAATCTGACATTTTCATCTCTTACAAATTGTTGAAACAATCCCAGTGCATTTAATCCACTCCCTACACAGGAAACCAATACATCTGGCTTTCCACCGCATTTCTCCATAGCCTGTTCTCTTGTTTCTTTTCCAATCACAGTTTGGAATTCTCGAACCATGCTCGGGAACGGGTGAGGTCCGACTGTAGTACCCGCCAAGTAATAGCTACCCTCTAGGTTTTCAACCCAGTTCCGGATTGCTTCTGAAGTCGCATCCTTAAATGTACCGAACATGGATTTGACCTGGATTCATTGAGTCGAGTCACATATTATACGTCATGGCCTACTACAAAAAGGAAATAAAAAAAANTCCTTCAAAACATCCTGAAGAACAAATTGGAAAGATGAAAATGTATTTGATGTAGGGCCTTTCGATCCCTCCATTGTTTCTCCTCCATAGTTTAAGTTGTGGGCATCTTGTCAAGTCCCAACAATGTGTCATCGAAATCCATCCGAGTGAGTACTGCTTGCATCTTTACCTACTTCAAAGAGAATCTTGTATTGAGATCTAATAGCGAAATATTATACTTCATTGCTACCATCATGAAATCCTTCAATGCCAAAAGCTCTGATAAACACTTGTTATAATCTGAACCAAATCTAAAACCACTTTATTGAAAGTGAAACGACTCTAATACTAGTTTGTGAAAAGTGAAAAACGATACCGAATTAATCCAATACCAAGTTGTTGAAGAAAGTAAGAGATTAAGTCACAATATGAAGTAATTGATCATAATAACAATGTAATTTTGTAGATAATGGAGATTTTATTATAATATGGGAGAAAGAATACAATGATTTATGTGTTTATTTTATGTCTAACTTAATCTAATATACAATGAAGAGTTAAATATATAGGGAACAATTTAAGCCCTAGAAGTAGAGTTGTAGATGAAATAGAATGTCCAAAAGTTTCCTTAATTATCTTGTGATGAGTGCTTCATACTCATTATATTTGTACCACTTAATTCATTATTTTGCTACCATTGAGAGTGTTTTAGAACATTTTAATGTGTGTTTTGATGTTGTGATATAGGTTGAAGAAATTGAATGAAATAAGCAAAAGTTAGTGGAATTGGAGAAAAGCCCAAATTGTAAGAGATCCAAAGTTAGGGGACTAAAGTGAAAATATTCAAAAGTTGTGTCAAACCTCATGATGAAGATCTGAGAGTTTAGGAGTCAATTGGATGAAGAAAGATGCTCCTGAATTTCAGCCACACATTGAGAACCATTTTTGACATAGCAAATTGGAGAACGATGTCTAAAGCAAAGTTGTAGACCTTTGCGTTATCTTTCCAACACATCTTGAATCACCTCAATCAGATATCGGACAAGAAAGTTATGCTAAAAATATTGAAGGAGCATAGTCTATTATTTTCGACCGAACTGGGCGCTTCGTAGCGCCAAACTCATTGAAAATAACAGCAGGCTCGGCGCCTTAGTGCCATTTTTTGGACTATTTTCTTGGCCCAATTCAACCCTAATTCATCCAAGACCCCAACATACTATAAATACCATTCAAAAAATCCTATTTTGAAGAAGAATGGAGAGGGTCAAACAAAACAATTGAAGTGGGCAAGATTGAAGACAATTCAACAAACAATTCATCAAAGACAAGGAGACATGAATAACATCAAGGGGAATTCCAATTAAAAGTTTCAAAAGAGTTTTTCTTTCTTTTTCTCTTTATGTTATTCATCAATTTGTTTAGATTAATTCTTCCATCACGAATTAAACATTAATTATAGGGTTTGATGTAACCTACGTAGACATGTTTCAATTCCAATATAATTATTTTATTTAATCTTTCCGCTTATTTATTTATGTTGTTCTTGCGCAATGCTTTCAATTCACTGGCCACTAATTGAATGATTTGATGCTTTAAATTTCAACGCTCGAGAAAGGCAAATTTAGG